TGTCAGTGAAAGGACTTTGTCAACATCTTCTGGGCTGTGACAGTCCTTTACAATATCAATGAATGTTTGTCGAGCAGCATCTTGTTTCAAGGGCCGAAGAGACGAGAGAAATGGCCGGGTCCAGGCTACTTTGGCTGGTCTTTCTGCTCCTCGCATTGTAATCTATTTTTCGATCAGCAAAATACAAGAGACAAAAGACCTATGGACCTATGCATACCAGTAATCCCAGATGCCCTATGTCCGTGAGCAGTGACAGAAATTCCTCCACATCTCCACGGGACTCCCTGGGTTCCCACACTGTCTCAAGATTGTCAAGAATCAAGAGACTTGGGGGACCACCAGTGAAGTGCTGGACAACAGATTGAGTAAGATCTTTGCCGGGCTTGAGTCCCAGATGGACTCCGATGAGTGCTGCAAGTTCCACTTTGTTTGCGGCAGAGTCACAGGCAACAAAGAATCGATGCTGCTCATATCTGGCAGCAATTTCTTGATGATGGATGATGGCTCTTGCGAGACTGGTTTTACCCATCCCGCCAGCACCCAAAATTGCTATCCTAGGACTTCCCTCTTTGAAAAGTTTAAGAATATCGGATAATTCTTTTTCTCGGCCATGGAATATCTTGGGCTCTGATGGTAACATTGAGATTGAGTTGGAGCTTTGGAAGAAGTTTGAGCAAACTCATGGAGATACTGGCTCATACATACCTGTTGTGGGTCCCCAAATACACCCTGCTCATCTGAGAAAGGTCAGCACAACTTAGGAGCAATAGTCGAAAGCTCTGTACTGTAGATGCTCTGTCCGAACTGGTTGTATCAGAGAGCCCTTCAATCATGCTAAGTACTTCTTGGTATCTCTGCTCTGCATCTTGTTGCATTTTTGTAATATCTGTCATGAGATTGCTGGTCTTGATCTACATAATATATTCCTTGATGAATTTTTATGGGGCCATCTGGATCACTGACCTGGAAAAATTCAAGTCCTTCTTTCAGTCCGGCCTTGCAATCCTTGAGCAGTGAGCTGATCTCCCCCTGGTGGAGGAACTTCCTGACTTTGCTGCGATTTTGTTGGGCTTCAACAAAGGTATGGAACTTATGTATGGTTCTACGTTCCATTGGTTAATATTGAACTTGAAATTCTTCACAGGTGAAGTACTCTGTAAATTTTCCAATCCAGTGCAATACACTCGGTGGCAATTCTCCCCCAGTATCTGACTTGATGTGAACAATGATAATTGCATTGAGCAATTCATGGATTTGTTCCATCAAGTCAATACAGGTGTTCTTGTTTCCTTTGACAGTCTGGGATGTGTAAGATTCATGATTGAGGTGGATTTGTTACAGTAATTTACCTCAATCTTTTTCAAGAGTGACTGTGTTGTGTTACAAATTGCCTCCAGGAAAGAGGCCCTGAAGCTGCTAGCAAGGATTTCCAGGGTATCTGAAGTGATATTCAAGCATGTTGTAATGTTGTTCAGTCGAATCTGAGTGTCAGTGGGTTGCATAGGCATCTTGATAGTGGGGTTTGGGGTGAAGCGATGTCAGTATTTTATGGTCTGTACTCTGGGAATTATCACTGTCATTGGTTGCTGTTCATCTTGGAATCCCACATACAGAATCAGAGATGTGATTATCAGACACACTAGCCAATGCGGTGCAGGAGAGATGCAAGCAGGGCCAGGTCTGTGCTCAGAGTGAAGGGGATAAGGAAACTGCCTATATTGCTAGTGGAGATACGACCAGCTCAAGACTGGAGACTACTACAAGTACAGAGTGGTATATATACTACTGCGGTATGAGCTATCCGCTATCTCGGGAGCTCAGTAAGCTAACAGTAAACTATCAATCAACTGTCAGGAAGCTGTGGGGAAGCTGTTATGAAGCTGTTATGAAGCTGTTATGCGCTAACGACAGATCCGATGTAAATAAGATGGAATATCAGAATAGATCCGAGCAGGTATGATGCAATCAGAAAATGAATCATAACAGTGATGTGTCAGCACAGAGCCTTAACTAGCAGGGTTACTGCGACGTAGGCAAGTGGCGATACAGAAAGAGATAGGTTTGAGATAATCCAATTGAGCTCTGGAGAATAGACTAGAATGGTCTAAAGAATACAGAGCTGTAAGTAGGGTTTTTATAGTAAAATACTAGTCTCGGACCAAACTCTCATGACATCCCAATCTGGGACCCCTGTCATGAGAGTCTGGGCTTCTGTCAGCCCATTAACCGTACCATTGCGCTATCAAATTTTGATCTACTTTGTGATGAGTTTTCAATGCGTTTTCGCATAAGTTCCCATCGGTTAAGCACTTTCCCATCACGTTCTCCCTCTGGCGCGTGGCCTACGCGTCCGTATTCTCCTCTCTCCACGCCTTCCCGACTCGGATATGTGGTGGTCCTATGACCCTCCATTCTTCGTGAAAACTTTCTTAACCTGGAAATGGTGCACCCCCACTCAACTCCCGCCGTTAATTGGCCACCACCGTGCATACACACTACGTTGGACCAGCGGGGCCAGACAGGGTACTTCCGTTGGAAAACTTGGATTATAATGGCATCTTTCCATATAATTTTATACTAACTCGCAAAGGGCGTCGAAATGGTACAAAGAGGTAGAAGATAGGGGTGCGACGGTACGCTAACCGATGGGAACTTATGCCAAAACTTGGCCAAAACTCATCACAAAGTAGATCAAAAATTGATAGCGCAATGGTACGGTTAATGGGCTGAAAGAAGCCCAGACTCTCATGACAGGGGTCCCAGATTAGGATGTCATGAGAGTTTGGTCCGAGACTAGTAAAATACCTAGTAACTGGTAACGAAGTAATTAGAATATATGTGAAATATGTCAGAGGTGTTGCCAGCGACGGTCGACATCACAGCGTGCAACACGGTAGAGAGGGGTGATCGTTGGAAAAGTAATCAGAGGGAAGTTGAAATAAAAGGATCAATGATGCACCTGATGGGTTTCCTGATCCGTGGTCGGCATTGATCTCGGCATTCGGGTTATTCCAATTGAGGTTGAATAACCTGGGGTGGATGTTAGGGGAATAACCCGGGTGTTTTAGGAGGGAATAAGGGGAAAAGTGGGAATCATGACACTCTACTAATGAATTCGCAGTGAAAGGCTACGTCACAAGGTTGCAATGCAAGGACGAACCAAGTTCGGTGCTTCCATTTCATCTGTCACGCCAGGACAAAAAAATGAACATCTCACGTCATTATCCTTTGCAATAAATCTCCAAGCTACTCGATCTCCGCTCCCCTGTCTGGTGAGGTGGAATTACATTGTCAGAGATATCTTGAGAAGGGTCCTTAGCCACATAACCTGCATGATAGAACTTCAGCACCACAGGATTGGAGGGTATGCTTGCACCGCTGACGAAGAGCCAACGAGCTCCTCCAACACCACACATATGAGTGCGGGCGGGCCGCCAGCAAGTAGACACAGGGTGAGGGTGGTTAGGCCGGCGGCGAGGAGGTCTGTAGGAAGATGGAATTAATCCCTCACTGAAATAAAGGAGGAGAGTGATATGGAGGAAGAACGAGAAGGAGAACGGACAAGTGCAGTTGTATTGGGGTAGAACGCGGACCACAAAGGGAAACACAAGGACAAAAATAGAAATAAATGACAATGTCTCGCAAAAAAAAAAAAAAAAAAAGTAAAGCCAAAAAAAACTTGACTCACCACCCCCCGCACCCCCTGCCACCGCGCACCAGCCCTGCCGCCCACCACGTGTTGACGTGCAGGAGCGGCTTTGTGTTTGCGTCTTTTGCAGCTTCTGCTTCATCCACGCCATCGGAATGTGGCACCCCCCGCCCAGCACAACCCACACCCTCCCAACCTCCTGTGCAAACAGTCTCATGCCCGCCTTGCCTTCTACCCCTTCCACTCTTGCCTGTGCCACGTCTTCCACAGCTCCACCTCCTACTTTGGAGCCAAGACCACGTTCCCTCCCCCTCCTCAAAACAGACACCACACACTCCAACACGGCCCCCATGAACACCGCACACGCCCAGGCACGCGGGGCAGGAGGGGGGCGGTCATCAGCGCGGGGGCGAGGGTGGGGGTCAGCTTCCATGGTTGTTGCTTGAACTCCAGAGCTCCTATTCCATTTCCGTCAGCTCCGTCGTCTTGCACGTCAGGTGCAGAACAGGGGGAAGTTGTGCGGGCGGCCTGCAAGTCGGGGAAGCGCAACGCGGACGGCGCCCCACCCACCGCGCCCCACCAGCGTGTCAAACAGCATGTGCAGCGGGGCCAGGATCTGTGTAACACAAAATGTCAGTGCACGCACAAAGATGTGGATGAAGCAGCAGCGGCGGCAGTAGGAGGGGGGGAGGGGAGAATGGCCAGAAGCGAAAGACAACACAAACACACCTCCCACAGAACCGCTGCAACAGCACCACCACTGCCGTGTGCACGCTCTCTGGGCTGCTGTTCACGCCACCCCCTGCAGGCGCACATGCGCACGCGAGGAAAGGCGCGGAATGCGGTGTAGGCGCTGTGTGGCGGAGAAGGCAGGGCGAGGAGCCAGGCGGAGGGGTTTGCTAGGGGAGGGAGGTTTTTTTTTTTTTTTTTGGTCAATGCGGAAAAAGAGAGAGGAAAGGAAACGGAAGGCAGAGTGGGGCACACTCACCCCTCAAAAACACACACAACGTGCCCCACAGCGTGCCGCGCACCTGTGCGTCTGGCTCGGCCACGCGGCGGGCAGCATGGCATGCACGAGGGGCAGGAGGAGTGCGGGGGGGGAGGCTCATGGGTGGGCTCGGCTTGTTGTTGATAGTATTGTCGTTGTTCGCTTGCATCATCATTGAGGGGAGTGTTGGGCCCAGCGGCTTTGCGGACGTGTTTCTTGCACATCCCCGACAAGGTGGAGGACAATTTCGGCGGGATGGGAGCAAGAGGGAAAGAGTCAGTGATGCGCCGCTTACGGTCGGGGCCGAGCATCCTGCTTGCCTAGCAGTGGACATCAGACAATCGACCGGGATTCTGAATTGTCGACCTGATAGCACAATGGTTAGTGCACCTGCTGAATTTGTGCAGAATGTAGATCAACTACGCAGGAGACCTCGGTTTGAATCCAGGTCAGGTCATGCTTGGACTTGAGTCGCTTTTTTATTTTTATTTGAATTTCACCTTTGCAACTATACACAGCTCTACGGCTACGATAGTTGTACGTTAAATGTTTTGGGTACCGTGTTCGTAACGGTGGTTGGATGAGTAAGTATATGCGTGAAGAGAGAAAAGGAAGAACGGGAGCCTTGATGTGATATTGGTAAAGTGTGGAATGGGAACGAACTATGGTCGTGTGTTGCAAGGTCCGGCCGTTATGGTGTCTAAGGGTGTGCTGGTTTGGGGGGTGTTTTGGATGGTATGCTTCAGTATGTTTTGCCTTCGTTTTTTCAAAATTAATAAAAGCATAGACATGATAACTTGGGACGGGCTCAATATCCTACTGCATGTTCGCAGCCGCCTCCCCTCCCGCCTTGTTCTTACTTTTTCCCGGTTTTACCATTCATACAGCTTGTGGCTTGCTGTGGCATCAACCTGATAGCGCAACTGGCTGGGAAAAAATCAACCAAAGCCCCGGCTTGGGCCAAAGCCAGGCCGAGCCAAGCCGGGCCTAAGGGAGGCAGCCTGGCCTGGGATTTTGGAAAGCCTAAGACCCCCAAAGCAGGCCAAAGCCCCAGCTTTCAGGCCAAGCCGAGGCCAGCACATCACTAGACTCACACAGAATCTCTCCAATGGGGAATGACCTGATGGCACAACGGTTAGTGTGTCTGCTCTATTTGTACCAAAATTGTGCCTCTATGCAGAAGATCCCAGTTCGAATCCGGGTCAGGTCATTGGCAAGTATTATAATGCTTTGTTTCCTTTTTAACACTTTCCCCACGGATGGCTCCCATCATCCTCCATTCTGACTGTTGCTGGTATTTCCTCCGTCAGTCGGCCACACATATACATATGTTCAGCCGTGGTCATGTTTTTGGGACTCACACAGAATCTCTCCAATGAAGGTGATGACCTGATGGCACAACGGTTAGTGTGTCTGTTGAATGTAACCCCCGTTGTATTCTCGTATGCAGAAGATCCCGGTTCGAATCCTGGTCAGGTCATTCCACTTTATCATAGGCTTCTTTTTTCCTTGATCTCCCTAGGAACTGCCAGTGGGAATGCGAAATTCATTCTGACTGAAATTGGTGCTCTGATCACTCCGATCTGGAGCCTGGAGCCATCGGACCCATCACACCTCTGGTCTGGACCTCTCCCTTCATCCTTCTGTCTATCTCTGAAGACTAAGGCAGTACGCTCGTGCATGACCTGTCGCGTTGTGTTATCCAGCCTGCCGATCTTCATCAACCGACCCCAGTCTCTGGTTCCGTTCTGTCCGGCCCTCAGCTCCGGTTCGGAAGGTGTCTGATCGTTTGGTTGGCCCATATCCTGACCTCCACACCAGCTCGGATATACATAACACACAGCTTGTTGATTGTGACGGTGGCACAATTTGTTACCAGGTCCCCGCTGTTCTTTCTCGTCACTGTTCCTGTTCCTGTGAACTAAACCCGTGCCTTGATTCCTCTGGACCAGTATATATGTTATTGTTGAAAACTTGAAGGCCCAGCTGGGCTATAAGGGTTTGAGAAGGCTTACAGCCTTATGACCCAGTTATACCCTGGTTACAGCTGATAAGTACTTATAAGTGCCTATAATTCTATTGGCTTTTACAGTAGTTGGTAACTGCTGCAAACTGTTTCTCGAGCATGGATGAATGAGCTCAATTGGCTTACACTGTTGCCCTGTCAGTCCACATAAAATCACTGCAATTCTCCAAAATTCAGCAGATCCGCGCTGCGTGATTCTACCTACCTACCCACCTACTACCCATTCACACAACCTCCTCTCAGGGCCGGCTACGTACATTCATAATACTTCAACTACCTTTTCATTTTTGTCCGTCATGAATTCTCGAGCAAGGTGCAAAACTCAGGTCATGACCTCCCAACATTTTCATACACATGTATGCGCGACTTCGGGTTAAATGAAGTCCGTCGACTTGGTGTTAGTAAATAGACAAAGATGTATAGATAACTCTTGTAACATCCCCCTTGCTTGCCTACTCGCCCAATCGGGTCACGGGTTAGGAGATGGCTGAGACCAAGGAGGGTGGTATAATATATTTACTTTGTTACCCGGAATCACTTGTAAGCTCAAATAACCGGCTGTAAACACTTATAAGTCTTATAGCCTTCGTAAGTATTTATAACTGCTTGTGATACCCTTTTGAGCCTTATAGGCCCCCTAAAAATCTTACAGGGTTATACCACTGTATAGTCGGTTATAACAGCCTATAATGCAAATCGGACTTTTGCAACATTCATTGTGTTCCGCTACTACCTACCTAGACTTAGCTCAGTCTAGTTGATCTACACACAGCTACACAGATGCCTCTTTCTAGTCGACTAGACACAATCTTTGTAGCTGAGTGTAGGTCTGTGCAGCTCTGGCTAGCTCTGTGTAGGTAAGGATAGGTCTGGCTAGGTCTGTCTAGGTACCTAAACTGAACTAGGAAGACTCATTGTAGCCCAATGTGATTTGCTTATACCTCCCTTGGCTACGTGTAGGAACAATCTACACATTCTTGATGAATCCCGATTTTTCTGTGACCAACTTGTTCGAAACGGGCCACAGTTTATTTGCTTAGTCCCGACTTTGTACTGAGGTTTCCACATGTTTGAGGCATGCCATTCAGCCATCCTTTTATTTCATCTCTGTACTGGAGGCAACCGGGACCCAAGCAGAGAACTCAGAAAGGATCGGAATCACGAAAGGGGTCAGTGTAGGTGAGTGTATGTATCTAGCCTCACCTACACTCACCTACAGATAGTAAGTCTAGTTCACCTACGCAGAGCCTTCTGAAGCTAGAAATAAATTGTGTGTTGTCACCTAAACAGGATCTGTGTAGTCACCTACGCCTACCTATGTAGATCCGTGCGAACCTACACAGAGTAAGTTTAGGTGATAGCGGAACGCAGTGAATGTGGACATGAATGAATCCCCTGCATGGTTACAGCTTACAACGAGTTCACTGCTGATGCTGGATTGTGTAGAGTTTACAGTAAGTAAACAACATCCTCAGTCGCACCAGAGATAAAGGTAAGACTCAATAAATTACCTGTAGAGTTTACAGTAAGTACATAATGTCTACAGGATTATCAGTACATTTACAATGGATAAGAAAATACCCTCAGTCACACCAGAGATAAAGGTAAGACTGAGGTACGTTGCCACGGATCCGGACCATACTTATATGGTGCGGACACGATTGGAGTTAGGCGAACAATAAATAAAATAAAAACAGCAACCATCCCAATGAGGAGCTGAACGCCAAAAGCCGGAAGAGAAAACTTGATCCTCAACAGATTGCTCTATTAATTCCAACACACATGTGAGTGGCTATTGAATCATATCCACTCGAACATTCGCAGCATCACGGATTTCAAACATACTCTTTTCGAGGAGTTGAGATCAACAGCCTAGTTGTTCAAGGTTTTTGATGTTCAGAATTGATGAGTTCTCTTACATGAGAGACCGTACATGGACTAAGTGGCACAAATACCTTTACAACAGCTGGTCATCACACGAGAGTATACAAACCACAGCAAACCACTTTCAAAAATTTTCAGGGTGGGCCCCGATGTTCATAAATCATGATTTCAATGTCAGGCAGTTCTAAGCCACTACCGTGAGTGGCGTTGCTTGAGAAGGCAAAGGGAAAACAATTTTTCATCCAGAAACTGGCCAAATGCAAGGAATTTCCGCACATATCTGGTGCTGCCCTGGGAGAAACCTGGTTTCATGCCCATTCACTGTGTTCTGCTACCGCTTAGACTTACCCTGTTTGGGTGATTGCGGGTCAAGAGACGTGTTTAGTCACCCACAATTACCTACACAGACCCGTGCTCGGTAAGTGTAGGCGATAGCGGAACGCAGTGATTCCGACCTGTTTGCAACTTGAGGGCCAGATTATTATTTTTTCTCAATTTTATCCCGAGTCGTCAATAGACCGATTCTTGACCGATTTTGACGTCGATGCTCACCCGATTCTCGTGATAGAATCGACACAGAACCGGAATCAGCTTTGACGCCCCACGTTTCAACGCCGATTCTGAGACTGAAATTTCCTGATTCATGGTGAGTATTATGGGTGAGAATGGATCCTCGGACAGCCTCTTACAAATCTGTGTTCCAGTCCCAACACTTGGATTTGAACGCAACTTGAACGGGACTGATATGCATTAAACAGTCTCGCTTCGGAGCATATTATAGCGTAGATCTAGATACACTGTTTAAAGCTGGTCTAGTAACTCTACTGGTTTTTCCTGTGATCTTCCGCTGCCAGCTCGCCAGTAGCTACTTCCCCTGTGTGAAACCAGCGTTCAAGTGCCGCTGGATCGAGGTTAGAGACCGGCAAGCCCTTGCCGTGTCTGAATTGAGGCAAAGGTGAGGCCTCGACGCCTGCCGCTGGCTTAGCTTGGGATAGCTGTGTCTGCAAACCTTTTGGTGGTGTCTGGTTTGAGGACTCCGCCGGTCGGCGCACATTCGACGTGGGCACCGGTGTGCGATTACCCTCCCCATTTGCGTTCGATGGATTTGGAAGCGGGGCGCCCGAATTTTCGTTGCGACCAGATCCCGACTTAGTGGCTCCCTTGCCGGCAACGGATTGAACTAGAAATGCAATTAGCCAGAACACGAATGTGAAAATTACAATACGCACACTGACCTTGTGTGTTTTCACCGGCTGGGTTCATGTTGAAGAACGGGGAGGGTTGGCCCATACTGCTGAAGGAGAGTCATTAAATACCCTCGTGAACCAGCAGACGTCATACCTGATCAGCCCTTTGAGAAGCTTCTCGTTCCGAGCGGGGAATTCCATCAATGACTAGCCTCTGAGAGAAAAGGGTGGATTTTGGAAAAAGCCTACATCGATCATCCAGGGCTTATAGACTCGGACGCTTTGGCCACTGACTATGAGCTTTGATACTACAAGGACAAAGCGGACCTTTTTCATGGTAGAGCTATCCTCTATCGTCCACATGCCGTATGCGTGAACTGGTCATCTGCTTCGAGGGATGCGAACGAGTTCTTTTCCCACAAGCGACAAAGAGCACAACGATGGACCACTTCAGAGAGCAGCCAAAAGAGCATCATAAATGCAACTTGAAGTGTGGCACTTCGATTTAACTAGGCTTGCCCTCGAGGGATTCCCGGATACAAACCCTACTAGTTCACCAAGCCGAGACTCGGCCGATTCCGGAACAATTCGGCACTGTGGATCCCACTCTTCGGACGAGATTTGTGCCGAGGTCGTTACGAAAGAGGGGTACAGTATGTTGCGATGCCGATGACCAGAGTCGATGGTCGTTAGTCCGAATTCAGAGCCGGAAATCTTGTGGTAAATTGAGTGCTCGAGTGCATTTTGAGGAAGCAGAGGCCGAGCGCCGAGCCTATGGAGCCTCAAAAGCTAAGATCAATGTCGGTCAAGCTAAGGAGGCACTTCCAGAACTAGCAAACTTCTACCCGCAACAAATGATTGCGGGTAGCAGTCAGGATAAACTCTAGCAGGAGTTAGGGTCCTACTGAAGTAAAAAGTTTGCGGCGCGCGTGAGGAATGTCTGACACACAAAATTGAGCCACAAGATACGCACGCCGAGTTTCACCTCAATTCCATTGAGTGAATAATTACATGCAAAGAAGAAACCAATAAAACACACGTATGATGAGCGGCCAGTTCAGCAGTTTTTGCTACTGTGCATCACGGAGGGGTGCCCATCCCTACTGAACAATTGGAATGATCGAGTTGAGGTTTGACGAAGCTAAATAATCAGAAAATCGGAATTTACAAGGCACAAGGAGCAATTGTGTCTGAGCCGACAGTGAGTCGCGGCTGGAAATAAAATGTCCTCTGATGTTGTTGCAAATGGGACCTGTTTGGTATTCCGGAGATCAAATTTGATCGGACATTTTCGGCACCGACAACTGGTTCTAACTGCTACGACGATGGCGCAAAACACCAGCCAACCCCACCGCCAGCCCCCCACCAATTTCTCGCTCTCTG